TAATCACGATCTTAGAATGGGAAAACTTTAATGGGGACCCATTTAGGATCTTAGAATGGCAATTTTGTCACATACACACATACACAGAAATATCAGTTATTTTCTTTAATGAGTCTGTTTCATCTCCCTGTAATTAGCACAACCTTACCACAAAAAATATTATTATACTTCATATCTATAACAGCATGTCAGACACGCTGTTATAGAGATGAAGTATAATATGTCACCAATATCGTCCTGATTGGACGATATTGGTGACATGACAGGGCAGTAAATCATCATGTCGCCCTCAAAGCTCAAGTTTCCCTGATCATATTTCCCTTATTCTGAGCCTCTCTAGGAAAATGCTCAAGAGTCATCACAACCTAGTTCCGAATGACAGAAGCAGACGACAAGAATGGCGCGTCAACCTGATCATCTCTACTCTTTTGTTATTGTTTTTGATTTAGATTTGTTTTGACATGATAAAATATTTATTTCCCTTACTTGTGATTCCCTAAAGTATGAGCAATAAATGTATACTATTGGTCCAGGAAGGTTCATTAAATCAATATGTATCATCTATTTCACAAACCAGTGTAACTTAAGGTTCCCTCCCAATCCTTGAGATCACATTTCTGTCTATCAGAAACACAAAGAGTCATTAGGTACTGGTATGGAAATATAAGACCCCCGGCACTTAAACCTGTTTTGATTTAACAGAATACATTTGAAGTTATGCATGGTGTGTCATGTGACTAATAGATTGTCTTACATCATGGTTTGTCATGTGACTAATAGAATGTCTTACCTCATGGTGCTTCCACAGAGATTTCCTGTGCGATACCGTAAACAGCGAAATCTTAACCTGAAACAGTAAGAAATCATTATATCAGGTGTTTAATTTCATAATTTTAATAATTTATTTCACCATCATGCCATTTCAATAGCAATACAAATACAAGCAAGGGGTTCAAGAGGCCTGTAATGATCACATGTTATTGAGAGGCTATTTGATGCTGCCAAAATATATTTACTGCTGAAATTCTTGAAAAGGTCTTTTTAAGTTTTTAAAACATCTTAGCTCTGTTTATTAAAGATTATTCATGAAACTCAAAATAATTACGCACATGCATGTTGTAGTTACCTTTTATAGTAGGAAATGCACGTCAACAGCCTGAAAGGTTCTGATTTACGTTTTGTGATTTATTATGAATTTGCCCAACATTTTGTGACCTCCAAATGCTTTCAAGTTTCATATCGGTTTCAAGATTTCGAGAAGCAATCGGAAACCATCCGATATGTACGTAAGTATACATCAAACAGGAAGTCAGTGATTGCATCGTACATGCTCGTACAATTAAGTCAATGTTTCTGTAACACTACAGGATCTGTAGGAAAGTGACTCTACCTCTCTACAGTACTGGTACATGTAGCCCTCCACATCCACACTGACGGCACTGGTACACTCGTCCAGGATAGCAAACTGGGGCCGATGATAAAACAGTCGAGACATCTGAAAGAAAAGAATGCTGTCAAATGTATGTTGCTGAAATATAAGAATAAGCTACACCTAATCAGGAAATAAATATTTGGTTGGGGCGAGGTGGGGGGCATTTTTTGTGACCCCCATAGACTGCAACATTATCTGTCTCCATTTTTCTTCGGACATATGTTTTTAACAAAATTTAAACCCTCTTTTATTTTTAACTAAATAATAATATTTATTCTGGAACAGCCATCACAGGGCAACATCAAAATGGGTAATGGGTAACACTGTCACTACAGTTATGTCCAATCCTGATAACCCTTCTATTAGGTTTCATGACAAAATATCAAGTGTATCATAAGTTATGGAATGGGTGAAATAACAATAATTTGAATTTGTCCCCCTGCCCTGATCTCTATCTCTTTGATATACATCTGAATGTGTCCTAAAACACTCAAGGAGGTCATAATAGGCTCAGAAGAAAATATGAAAGAAATAAAAGTTATGGTCCATAAAAGTATTATCATAATGATTTGACCTGTGACCCTTTGTCATCACGGCTTCCACCTTTAGGGTCCAAAGCTATTTGGCTTTTTCCCTCTGTTCATTATGCATGTCATATCTTGTTCATAAGAAAATATGAAAGCAATCAGAAGTTTCAGTTCAGGAAAATATGTTACAATAATTTTGTTACCTGTGTGTATTATGACATACCTTCTGGTCATGAAAACATCTGTAAAGTTATATAATGCAAGGTTCAACCATGTAGAAGACTCCTACACACTGTCTTAATGTGTACAGAAGAGAGGGAAGCAGGTATTGTATTATATAGTAATATACTTACAGCAATTCTCTGTTTTTCTCCACCACTCAGGACGTCCATCCAGTCCTAGATAAAACAAGATTTAAAATCACAATCTAAAATCCTTTAAAACTTGCAACACACAGGTGTAATGAAAATAATTATTGTTTTGTATATTACAAAATGTCAGACAAATCAATACCAGTTATATCAATGATAGGACATCCTAACACACTAGACAAGTTTTATTAAAATTCAATGATACCTTCACAAGATATCAACTTGAAGCAAATCTGTTTATACATGTATTGTTATAAATTAATTCACAAGTCAGAACTGTCAGTACACTACTTATTTCAGATATTACATTAGTCACAGCAACTTTGTAAACTGATTTTCTAGCAATTTATTACTGTATACCATAACGTTTTCACTGCAGTTTTATTTATTTCATTTTTGCCCTCCGTAATGAAGGCGAATTTATCATAACAGCAAATGTAAGTTAACTGCACAATAAATATAGCAATCAAATGTGAAGGGCGAAATTAACACTGGGTGAAAATTGATTTCATGGGCCATGGGCAAAGTTTGACTGGAGGAAAATTTCCCGGTATAGGGATATCATAGGGATATGGTTTATTTACCTGCACAGCGTCCCATCCTCCTTCCCTCTCCAAGATGTAAGACAATTGTACCTGTACAGAGAAAACCGGTGAGTACATTACATCACTGTCAAATCTACCTCACATTCCTAACACCACTGCTTCACTCAGCATACCTTGCAAAAGCTCAAGTATCCAAAGTTTTGCCTTATATTTATATTACTACTGGTAATTAAGCGGCTATCAATTTCTTTCAAAAGAACCTGACACAATAACGCAAGAATAATCTGTATCAACCAATTTCTTCTTTGCATGATCAGCTTATACATTATTCTGCTATTGTTAAAAACATCTCTAATTCATCAATACAATACATCATTATTTGACGTACGATTTTACCTTTTCTAGGATTTCCTCCAACTGTGAATCCCGAATTCCCTTCTTAAGTTGTTCTTCTCTGCTGTGTGGGTAAATCACCTGGTCCCGCAGAGTACCCACTGTCATGTACGGACGCTGTAATGATTGACGAACTAATAATATCTAGACCAAATTAAATTCCACGGTATTAATTGAACATTTTATATACAACCCATTTGTAAATGATATTATCAAATCTTATTTTCAATGCTGTGCAACAACTTACCTGTGGAACATAGAAAAGGTTTCCTTTTTCTGGTTTGGTCATGGTGCCTCCAAATAATGGCCATAACTGGTAAAAAAATAAAATTCCTGATAAATCCTATCATATATTTCATGCTTCAGCTAAAGACGACAAGTATAAACTTCCCATATTAAGTCTTATAAAGTAACATTGTGTGCCAAGCTTCACCTAACAGATGTCTGTTAAAAATGTGTTCCATCAGGTAAAAGATACCTGTACTTTTAATCTTAATTCACCGTTGTCGACATCTATATTTTAGTCAGAGACTACTATCAAGAAGGAAATCAAACACAATCCTTGTAAAACTTGTAGAGAAATCAAAATGTTCAAGATCAGCAGGAAAAGTAACAATACTAGTTTGGCACTGCATAAGGAAAATCTCTGCCTTGGGATAAATTGCTGTAGACACTCTTGAGAAACTGAAAATATCTCGACCAATCAGAGGGCAGGGCTATGGTGGTATCCAATCAGAAGGCAAGGCCATCATGAATTTTCAAATGCCAGGTAAGCACAAACTCAATGCTTGGTTTGCACCTCATACAGACCATTCGTATTGAGTTTGGGGTCATTCACTTAAGCTATTAAGCTTCTAGAGAAAATGTAAACCAACCAATCGAGAGGATAGATCACCTATCTCAGATTTTCAAATTGGTAGGAAAAGTAACAACACTTTGTGATGACCTTGTAAGGAATATTTGTATCCAGTTTGAAATTAATCACTTCAGCGGTTTGAGCAGAAATCGAAAAGGTTCCTTTTCATTTTTTCAATCACAAA